AATACAGATATAAAACTGCAGTTGACCCTTGAACAATGCAGGGGTTTGGGGTTCCGACCCTCCCCCAGTCAAAATCCCCATATAACTTTTGACTGCCCTGAAACTTAAGTTTTCCCTTAGTATCTGCAGGCGATCAGTTTCAGGACCCCTAAAGATAGCAAAGTCTGAATGAAGATGCTCAAGTTTCCTGTATTAAATGTGTAGATCAATGCACACAGTTGGCTCTCCACATCCACAGACTCCTAACAGCAGATCAAGAACAATACAGGTATTTATTGGGAAAAAACCCCATATAAGTGGACCTATGCAGTTTAAACATACACTGTTCAAGGGTCAACTGTACAGGGGGAAATTATTTGAGGCATAATTTACAGAGTTGCTGTGTAGTTCATTCACTGCAATGCTAAATTTGTATTTATTAATATTTGCTGTTTCCTTTTTTATTAAACATAAAAAATAATTCATTCTTTGGCAATTAATAGTCCAGCATCTCCAATGCATTAAAAGGAAATGTCATGTAATATGGACTGGCAAAACAATCTATATATACTCAAATCAGGCTAGAGCCCATGGTGATGTCAGGTCAAGATTTTTTTCAAGGAAACAGTTTGTACCAATAGACAAGGATGATTCTCCTTAAACTAAAAATGCCAAGATTCTTATGCAAGTGTCTCTTTCAAAGCCATTAGTTGCAGTTTGCAATAGGGGCAAGAATAAATGCCTACAAGAATTACCTTTACTTTGAAATCCTGCTTGCTTGAACGTTGTGAAATGTACAGAGGTGCCTTGGTTTTCGAATGTCTCTGTTGACGAACATTTCGGGTTATGAACGCCATAAACCTGGGAGTAAATGCTTCGGTTTCCAGCATGCCTCGGGAGTTGAACAGGCCATGGGCTTCCACTGAGGGCAAGATCCTGAGGCCCAACTGTCGGCTGGGAAACCTCAGTTTTCCAATGTTTCAGAACTTGAATGGTCTCCCAGAATGGATTACATTCTAAAACCAAGATACCACTGTATATCTTTATAGATTACAGAAAGAAGTATTTGTTTGTATTCTTAATAAGGCAAAAGTAAATAGTTTGAGTGTTACCACAGCCCAAATTTTGACCCTAAGCTGATAAAAGATGCTAGAGCACTCCCCTCCCATGCTAGAATATTGCTTGTATAATTCCCGCAGGGCCTCAGTGCTAGGTCACTGAAAAATCCCTTTTCCTTTTGCCATCTGATTGCGGAGTGTGCAGCCAGTTTCTAAGCTGAAGACCACGGGAGGGCTGAAGATTACTGTCTTTTGAAAAAGAGCTAGCAGTATGGATAGTGTCTCCACACTGCCATTATCTTTGATAAGGAAAAATAGTCCCATAAATCCTTTTGGCTACTTTTTCTATTAGTTCTTGTAATTTACATCTCATGGCTGTAAAGAGAATAAAATGACCCTATAGTCTAAAAAAGAGAGGCAACCCTAATTATGATATCCTTTGATATCCTATGATATCCTTTTGCAATGTGTTCTTATTTTCTTTTTAAATGGTTGATCTTTTTGTTTTGTGTTAAGTTCATGATGACTTGCTTTCATTTTCTTTGATATATTTGAAAATATTTTTCTGATCTATATACAAAATTTTTCATTTTTATGATATTTTAATATGTTGAATTTTATTGAAAATATAATTATAAAAGTGACTTCTAAAATAACTTCTCTGATTGGGCAGTATAGGAAAAGTCAAACGTAAGAAATTAAACCTACTGTAATGACGTAATTCTTCATTGTATAATAGAGTCCCTCGTTATAATGAAATTATAAATATATATTTTATTTAGCTTGTAATATTGTAGCTTTTTTTTGTAGCTTCTAATTCTAATATATATGATTAGTTATTAAAGGAGATTAAGGAAAGAAAATTAAGGAAAGATTAAGGAAATGAAATCATTGGTAAAGGGCACTCAAAAAGGAATTTCAGCTCTCATCAAGGTTTAAGAATTTAACTGATTTAAAATACCACAGTGGATATAATACATTGAAACCTGGAAACCATCGACAAATATAAAATATTAGCACTGCTTCAGTCATCTCTGGAGAAACTTCCGTTTCTTTCTAGATGGATGAGTAGCATTGAAACGGAAAGGTGGAACCTTATGAATTGTGAGGACACCTATGAATCAAACATGGGAGACTTAACAATGTTTTTGCACAAAACCTAATGTGTTCTTCAGTATTTTTTCTCTGAAACATCTTAGATATTAAGTTTTTAATTCTTAAACTTGTGAGAGGTGCTAGATTTTGTAATTTTCTTTTTATTTCCTACTTTCCTCTCCTTTATGTTATCCCCAAATTCACCATAACTGCTTTAATTCAGAGAACCGATCATAACTAAATAATCATGTGCTTGGTTAAATGTAAAATTTCCAGTGATATACTAGTCATTATTTTCCTTTGTGATATACATGATCATCAGTATATCTCTATTTGATCTTAATTAAGTTTTGCAGCCTGTGTAAAGAGCTGTTTTTAAAGATTTGGGTCTTGGGTTTCATTCACCTGGATAAAGTGTGTTAAATGCTGAATGTCAATGAATTAAAATATTTTGAATGATCATATTAATATAAAAGTAATCATGAAAAGCAAAAATAACATCAACAGAATACAAGTACGAATTTATTTCTAAATGCTAAGGAAGGGAACCTGTACCTTGGCTGGTGTGGCTCAGTTGGTTGAGCATCATGGGTAACAAACCCACGTTGTGGGCACATACCTGGTTGGGGCGTGTTTGGGGGGCAACTAATCAGTGTTCTCTCTCACATTGATGTCTGTCTGTCTGTCTCTCCCTCTCCCTCCCTCTCTCCAAAACATCAATTTAAAAATAAAGAAAGGGAATCTGTGATTGCTCAATTTTTAAACCAAAATAAAGTAATAAATGAGAACTTTAAAACATGGTATGCATTATTACATTTACTAAATCATCCATTCCAGTTTTCTGGAAATATAGAGGATAGAGGTACAGGTGTAATGACACCACGAGGAAACAGTCAGTCAAGTTCATAATGTAGGACGTCCTGCAAGATAACTGACCGGAGTACTTCAAAACATCAAATATCATAAAGATGGGAGACTTTTCTAGAATAAACAGATGTAACACCCAATACAATAATGACACTTGGTTAAAAAACAAATTTTCTAAGGCATTTCTTATAATAGGTAGTTAAGAAAGTAAGCACATTTGTAAAACAAAAAACTCCACAATAACAACAAAGAAAAACACCTCAAGAGTGAATATGAATTCTTTTCAAGTTGAAGGAAATCAGGGAAGGATAATAGAAACATAATGAGATTTCATAGGAACTGGATTTTTTATAATATTCTGGAATTATTGTTAATTTTGTTAAGTGTGATAGTGGCATTACAATTGTGTGGGATAACACTCTTATACTTGGGAGATGCCTGATGAAATATTTAGAGGTGAAGTGTTGTGATGTCTTCAAGTTACTTCCCAATGGGTCAGCAAAAAAAGGAGGTGTGTGTGGAATAAAATATATAGATAGAATAAATATTACAAAATATAACTTTTAAATGTTCAGTTAGGGTAGAATTATGTTGGTATAGTTCTTTTTAACTTTCCCATACAGTATATTTTAAACATTTCTTAACACAAATATTTAATTACTAGACTTTATTTTTTAGAACAGTTCGGTTTTACAAAGAACTGAGCAGATAGTACAGAGAGTTCCCATATACCCACTTTCTCCCACTCACAGTTCCCCCAGTATTAACATCTTGCATTAGTGTGGTACATTTATTATTACTGATGAATCAATATTGATCCATTATTATTAACTACAGCCTGCATTAGGGTTCACTCTGTGTTGTACATTCTATGGGTTTTGACAAGTGTATAATGTTATGTATCAATTATTACAGTATCAAAAAGCAAAGTTTCAGTGCCCCCCAAATCCCCTGTTTTACCTCTTGTTCATCCCCCAAAACCAATAATCTTTTTAATATGCCTGTACTTGTTCCATTTTCAGAATGTCAGGTAGTTGCAATAATGTGTATGTAGCCTTTTCAGACTGGCTTCTTTCACTAAGCAATATGCATTCAAGTTTTCTCCATGGCTTTTTTGATTGGTAACTCTTTTTATCACATATATATATTTTTAAAACACAAAATGACTAAACTGTAAAGACCCAACAATAAACTGCAACATATATAGCTTGTTTGGCACTTGAGTTAGCAAATTATCTTTAAATTTAAAAAGATAATTGGAAAATTTTCAATATTTACTGGGTATTTGATATTATGAAACTATTAACATTGCTAGATGCAATAATTGAAGTTATGTCAAAAAATGTTCTTATCTGTTAGAAAGGAAATTTAAAATATTGACACATTCACAAGAATTATTATTCAGATGTTAGGAGATCTTCTTGTGGATCAAATGCAACAAATTTCAGGAAAATGTGAAGTGGGAGAGTGCAGGAGAGAAATGTGAGTAAGAAGAATATTTCAGTGTCCATGAGAATGTTCTTATGTGAATTCTGTGTTTTTCTGGGCCTCTATACTGTTCCTTTGGCTTGAGTGTGAGGATGGTAACCTAACTACCACTGAGATGCACACTTACCCAAGCTCTGAATTAGAACTGGAAACTGACTAGTCAAAGCCTTCATTCATCCTAGGACTGAAGTTACTCCCTCCAGTTTACGAAGTTGATATTCTTCCCCAGTTTAAAAAGAACTGCTTGAATCTGTGAGGAAGCTGGAATAGAAATTTGTCTGTTTGTCGTGTCGTGTGGATGTAATGAAAAAGCCCTTCGAAATGCAGATAAGACTTCGGTATATTGGGAGATACCACTTGAAAATATTCCATTTAGATTGCCATCAGTCTGAAAGAAAGGACTGGGATTTTCTTAATGTTTTTGGAGAAAATAAACACTCGGAAAAGACGCAGGGTGGCGCTGCAGCATTAGAAGTAGAAGGAAGAACGAGCCAGTCCGCCTTCTCTTTAGCCAGATGCACAGCTAAAGAATCAAGCCGGAAGGGGAGGCTTTCCAGGGCGGTGGCTCTGGGAAATCCAGGGCCCTAGGCGTCTCCACTTATCCCCATGTTGGGGACATACTGGGAGACAGAGTCAGCAACAACGCAAGCCTGAGCTGGGTCAGGTTTGCTGGGAGACCAGAAGGCGATGGAGGCCAGAGAAGGAAAGGAACGCTTTCTGAAACAAAGGCAAGTCTTGATATTCTTTGTTTTGCTGGGCATAGCTCAGGCTGGTTCCGAGCCTAGACACTATTCAGTAGCCGAGGAAATGGAGAGTGGTTCCTTTGTGGCCAATTTGTTAAAAGATCTGGGGCTGGAGGTAGAGGAGCTAGCTGCGCGAGGGGCGCGCGTCGTTTCCAAAGGGAAAAAAATGCGTTTGCACTTGGATAGGCAGACCGGGGATCTGTTGTTAGATGAGAAACTGGACCGGGAGGAGCTGTGTGGCCCTACCGAGCCCTGTGTGCTACCTTTCCAGGTGTTACTGGAAAATCCCTTGCAGTTTTTTCAGGCCGAGCTACGGATTAGAGACATAAATGATCATTCCCCGGTTTTCCTAGACAAAGAAATAATTTTGAAAATCCCAGAAAGTATCACTCCCGGAACTGCCTTCTTAATAGAATGTGCCCAGGACTTAGATGTGGGAAGCAACAGTCTCCAAAGTTACACAGTCAGCCCCAATTCCCACTTCCATCTTAAATTACAAGACAGTCCCGAGGGCATTGTATTACCACAGCTGGTGCTGGACAAAGCGCTGGACCGCGAGGCACAGTCTGAAATCACCTTGAGTCTCACGGCGTTGGATGGTGGGACTCCACCCCGGTCTGGCACCGCCCTGGTCCGCGTTGAGGTCTTGGACATCAACGATAACGCCCCGGAGTTTGCAAAGCTTCTCTATGAAGTTCAGGTCCTGGAAAACAGCCCTATTGGATCCCAGGTTGCTATCGTCTCGGCTAGAGATTTAGACATTGGAGCCTACGGAGAAATATCTTACGTATTTTCCCAAGCTAATGAAGATGTTCGCAAAACTTTTCGAATAAATGCAAAATCGGGACAACTCCTTTTAACGCAGAAGCTGGATTTCGAATCTATTCAGACTTACACATTAAATATTCAGGCGACAGATGGTGGGGGTCTTTTTGGAAGCTGTGTGGTGTTTGTCCAGGTGGTGGATTTGAATGACAACCCTCCGGAACTGACCATGTCAACGCTTATCAATGAAATCCCAGAAAACTTGCAGGAGACCATAATCGCTGTATTCAGTGTTTCAGATCCTGACTCGGGAGACAATGGAAGGATGGTGTGCTCTGTTCCAGATGATCTGCCATTTATCCTTAAACCCTCTGTTGAGAATTTTTACACACTAGTGACAAACACAGCCCTGGACCGAGAGATGAGATCCGAGTACAACGTCACCATCACCGTCACCGACATGGGGACCCCCAGGCTGACAACCCAGCACCACATAACCGTGCTGGTCTCCGACGTCAACGACAACGCCCCCGCCTTCACCCAAACCTCCTACACCCTCTTCGTCCCCGAGAACAACAGCCCCGCCCTGCACATCGGCAGCGTCAGCGCCACCGACGCCGACGCGGGCGCCAACGCCCAGCTCACCTACTCGCTGCTGCCGCCCCCGGACCCCGGCCTGCCGCTGGCCTCGCTGGTGTCGGTCAACGCCGACAACGGCCACCTGTTCGCCCTGCGGGCGCTGGACTACGAGGCCCTGCAGGCCTTCGAGTTCCGCGTGCGCGCCACCGACCGCGGGGCGCCGGCGCTGAGCGGCCAGGCGCTGGTGCGCGTGCGCGTGCTGGACGCCAACGACAACGCGCCCTTCGTGCTGTACCCGCCGCAGAACGGCTCTGCGCCCTGCACCGAGCTGGTGCCCAGGGCGGCCGAGCCCGGCTACCTGGTGGGCAAGGTGGTGGCGGTGGACGGCGACTCGGGCCAGAACGCCTGGCTGTCCTACCAGCTGCTCAGGGCCACGGAGCCCGGGCTGTTCGGCGTGTGGGCGCACAACGGCGAGGTGCGCACGGCGCGGCCGCTGAGCGAGCGCGACGCGCCCCGCCACCGGCTGCTGGTGCTGGTCAAGGACAACGGCGAGCCGCCGCTGTCGGCCAGCGTCACGCTGCACGTGCTGCTGGTGGACGGCTTCTCGCAGCCCTACCTGCCCGCGCGCGACGCGGCGGCCGACGCGGCCCCGGCCGACCCGCTCACCGTCTACCTGGTGGTCGCGCTGGCGGCGGTGTCGTCGCTCTTCCTGTTCTCGCTGCTGGCGCTCGTGGCGGTGCGGCTGTGCCGGCGGAGCGGGGCCGCCTGGGCGGGGGGCTGCGCGGCGCCCGGGGGCCGCTTTCCGGGCCCCCTGGTGGACGTCAGCGGCGCGGGGACCCTGACCCAGAGCTACCAGTACGAGGTGTGTCTGACGGGAGGCTCAGGGACCAACGAGTTCAAGTTCCTCAAACCGATTCTCCCCAATGGTCTGGTTCAGGACATTGGGCAAGAGTAGTGCAAAACTCCAGTTGCAGAAATACCTTAGGGTTCATTCACAGAAGAATAAAAAAGTTATTTGGCTATGAATGCTTTTTGAAAAAAATCAGGAATCTTTAGTTGATAGTCATTTTGTTTATATATTGATTTTAGTTTCTATCAAGTTAGTTAATGTTTGTATATTCTCCCTTTTTCACCTGTTTTCTTCCTTACCAATGCAGTCTTAACCCCTCCTTTTCTTTTTCTAATAGGTGAGTAAAAATAAATTCATTATGTTTTAATGGTGATTTGCAGTAGGCTTATTTTAAGGAACTCGTTTCGTATTCTAGGGCCATAGCGCAGTCAGATAGTGTTCTTCGTAATATTCCTAAAGCAGCTTTTCTATGGTTAAGTTTGTGGATAGGTAAGAATGTTTCTTTCATACGTACCGTCTTCAAGGCACAGCGTGATTTTAAGGGTATAGTACCCAAAAGAAAGTAATATATTTAATTCATTTTCTGTTTTTACATTTGCAATTAATATTTCAATATTGTATATGCTTATGTTGGTGAAAAGTGGACTAAATATAGGCTAATATGGCAAATTACTCTTAGATTTCTCTAAAGTGTACTCATGTGTTAGGAAAAATTAAACGTAAGGCATTTTGAACAACTGATTGTGCTTTGCCATTGGTATGAAGACACTGTTTAGTAAGGCATCCGGTGGAATGACAATTTAGTTTGTAAATTCTGAGATATAAATGTTATCAACCTTAAGGGCCCTTTTAAAAATTTCAAGATAGTACATGTGTACATTATCTAGAAATGGTTTGTGGTAAAATTGGTGTCCCATTCAATCTTAATTTTAAAAAAATAATATCTACTTTGCATTTATATGGTAACATATGAGAGAAATCTTTTCTTTGTTTCCTGTCTTCCTTCCTTCCGATTTCAACCTGACATAATTTTAGATTATGTATGGTCCTTCTGGGATTAAAAACTGTCCATCCACATCTGCCCCCTATAGAATACTTAGAAGAAAATGTACAAGAATAGGAAGTTCTAAAAAGGAGTGAGCAAAATCATTGTGAAAGGCTAAATTAGTTACAACTAAGAATAAAATCTGGAGGCAACCAGAACATCAAATTTCATGGCAATTTGGAGTAATATAGAAAAACTTATTTTTAAGTAATAAAATGTTTAGGCCCCAATTAGAGAATTAGGAAGAATGAAATATTCTCCTTATATGCATTTTCTCATCCAGAGGGCTAGAACTTTCCAGGAATTGAATACTTATTACTACAAGAAAGGGAACTGAAGTTTCTCAAACTTGAACAATTAGTATTTTCAATATTCCAAAAAAAGAAAAAGAATTTAAGATTGATATGGCTTCACACATTAAAGTGTAGTTATAAATAGTATCATTTTATGTAACAGAATTTTTAAAAATATGTTTTTATTGATTTTACAGAGAGGAAGGGAGAGGGAGAGAGAGAAACATCAACGGTGAGAGAATCGTTGATCCGCTGCCTCCTGCACGCCCCCTACTGGGGATCAAGCCCGCAACTCTGACTGGGAATGGAACTGTGACTTCCTGGTTCATAGGTCGATGCTCGACCACTAAGCAACACTGGCTGGGTTCTGAGAATGGAATACATGAATCCTTAATAATCAAAGGAAAGAGAATATTTTTTTTCATGCATTTTTTATAGAGATGTTTTAATGTGGCTCTTTCGATGAGATGTCTTCCCCTTCTTTTCATACTTAGCTGAATTTCCATGAAGAGAGGGAAAAGGCACATAATTCTGATCAAGGCTTCTCTTTGCTTGGCTGGGTTCCAGGTAGTGTCAGAGCCCGGGAAGTATTCACTTGTGGAAATTATAGAGGGAGCCCGGCCGGGCATGGCTCAGCGGTTGAGANCAGTACGAGGTGTGTCTGACGGGAGGCTCGGGGACCAACGAGTTCAAGTTCCTCAAACCAATTCTTCCTAACTTCCTTGCTCAAGGTGAGGAGAGGGTTAGTGAGGCAAACCCCAGTTGCAAGGATAGCTTTGAATTCAGTTAAGAATTAGTAGCGGTCTGCTGACCCTAGCCTCAGTTGATTAGTGAAAAATCCCTGCTTACTGCTTTGCCCATTGAGGTTGTTTCTTTTTATTTGAAATGTAAGTATCTTGTTTCAATTCAGTGCATGTTACTGTTGTTTCTGAACGTGTTGCTTTGTGGCATAACGAATACGAATTTTCTTTGTATTCTCATTGGTGACTAGTCTCCCTGTACCTTAATTCCATTTAAACTGTGAAAGTAAATTTTCTTTTTCCAAAAGTCTGAATTTTTAAGTTAGAGCACCTTTTTCTAAACTCCCCTTCCCCAGGTAACTTTGCAGCCCTACATTTTTTAAATGTTTGCTTTCACTACATGGGGTTATTCTTGTTTCAAGCCCAGCATATATGTTTTATATTCTCTTAGGCTAGTGTAACTTTTGTCCTGTGAAGTCACATTGGCTAAACCATTAATATAGGTATATTCATGAAAAACAAAGCACCCTCTCACATTTTTCTAAGTATATACTATGGCAAAGTGTCCATACATGGAAGTTATGATTCTTTAAACATTCGGAGAACCTTGACTGTTGGATTCCACAAACCATTCACATTAAAAGTGTTCAATTAATCAACCACGAATATTCCAAAATGTAGTTAAATGCATAGCGCCTGTCCAGTCATCTTCAAAGACATGCTAACTCTTCTTGCTATTTCAAAAACAATTTTAACTTCTATTTCAATGCCCACTTTAAAAAATCTCAGTTTTAGTTATTAAAAACTGTCTATTACTTTTGAGCACTTAATTAAAATCCAAAAAGTTTGAGAGAATGTGTGTCTTTGTCCTTAAACAAAGTTCAGAAATTTCAAATGTAGTTTGGCATTGCATTTTTCAGAAATGTGTTGAGCATTTATGATTCAATTGAAAATAAGCTTATGGGAAAATATTTATCTTGGTCTGTCTGCCCATTCTTTTTTTTTCTTTTTTCTTTTTCTTTTTTGCACTGACTACTTCTCTTTTCCCCTTTCAGTTTCCAATAGCTCCCCATTTATTGCATGGTTAGCACAATGACTGGAAGATTATAGGGTCTTAATAAAATTTTTGAATGACTGATTGACATTCAAAAAAGAAGTGTCTTTGAGGTTGTTTCTTTTTATTTGACATTCAAGAAAGAAGTGTCTTTATTTCACCTGTGACACATATTAATATTTAAATACCCCCAGGACAGCCCTGGCTGTTGTGGCTCAAGAGGTCACTAGTTCCATTCAGTCAGGGCACACGACTGAGTTTCAGGCTCGATCCCTAGTAGGGGGCCTGCAGGAGGCAGTGGGTTGATGTTTCTCTCTCACTGATGTTTCTCTCTTTCTCTCTCTCCCCTTTTCCCTTCCTCTCTCAAATCAATAAATACATACCTCTAGCCAGTTTGGCTCAGTGGCTAGAGCATCGGCCCATGGACTGAATAGTCCCAGGTTCGATTCTGGGGCCAAGGGCATATGCCTCAGTTGCAGGCTCGATCCCCACCCTGGCCTGGGTGCATACAGGAGGCAGCCAATGGATGTGTCTCTCTCACATCGATGTTCCTCTCTCTCTCTCTTCCTCTCCATTCTACCCTCTCTGAAAAGCAATGGAAAAAATATCCTCAGCTGAGGATTTAAAAAATAAAAATTGAAAATAAATAAATACAGGACAATTTTTTGCTGGAATTAAGTGTGCTCTGATGTATAATGAATTTATATATAATATATATAGGTTATTAATCGAAGTGACCACTATTACTCAAACACTATGCAGTTATCACTCCCTGGTGTCTCTTTTCCTTTAACATATTTTTCCCTTTTCTCTTCCTGCTTAATTTCACTCTCTCCTCCTGCCCACCGCTTAAGGAACACAAATGGGGAAATTGTGTTTTGTATTTTATAATTTAAAATTTCTCTTATAATTCTCTAAAGGATTCATCCAACTTTCTCTATTCTTGCAGTTCAATTTTTCACCCATACATTAAAATTTTACTTTTTAATGTTCTTCAGCCTACTTTTAATATTTATATCATTTAACGCTTGAGCTATGCTATTAAAATTATTAGATGAATTTTAAAGCTCTTATTTTGAGATTAGGGGTGGTGTAAAGCACTATCTTGGTATCCAAAGTCTCTGATTAACCAACTTATTACCTGTAGGATCTTGGATAAGTCACATAATTTCTGTCCCCCTTCCCCAATGATAATAGCTATTTCAATAGCTTGCAGTTATGGTCAGATAAGATATAAGAAAGATATAGAAGTGTAATTGCTGATTTTACATATCACTAATACTGAGACTAAACTTAGTAGGTGAGTCTTCGTGTAGTATTCCTGATCATTGTGAAGGAGCTAGGTTGAACACCTGACATTTGCGGTTTCATTTCTCTGCCTGAAACCTTGCAATAGCTTCCTTTTATTCTTAGAATAAAATCCAAACACCCATTATTTGGCTCCAGTTTACCCTCCAGCCTTCTCTTCCCACTTACTCTTGAGATAGTTAGTTGAGACTGACCTTCCTTTATTGTCTAGAATAGCTTTGCTTTACTGTCCCAGGGCCTTTACATATCGCTTTCTCATATATGGAATCTTTCCATTTTACAGTCTTAGTCTGGTAAACTTCTCATCCTTCATGTTCCAGATTAAATGGCACATCTTTGGGAAAATTTTCTCAAATCATGCCCCCCCCCCATTAAATTAGGTCCCCTATCCAATACTTTCAAGTACACTCAGTACTTTCCTATATAACAATTTTTACACTGTTTGAACATCTGTTCAAAGTCTTCACTCATTAGATGGAAAACTGTGTAAGGTATATGTCTGCCTTGTTACCACTACATGCCTAACTTCTACAAACTCAACAAGTTATCTGTTTCCACAGATGAAATACAGTTATATTGATGAAACCAATAATTGTAAAATTACTGTGCTATAAGAAGAGGAGAAAGCTCTGTATTCATTGAGTGAATGTTAAAATGTAGAAGGGATGAGGCATTTGTGGCCTCTGGATATACCCCGACATGATCTATTATAATTTTTATCACCTTGCATGATTTTATCTTTCCATAGCATTTCTTCCTGACTATAAAAGCAACTTGTGCACATTTTACAAAATTTGGAAAACACAAATATGATAGTGAATCATGTCGTAATTTAGAGCAAAATCTTTTCAAATTTGTGTAATAACAGATAGTGTCCACTTCCGCAAAATCACATAAATGAGCACGCTCTTGGGAACAGTAACGTCTCTTAGATAAGAGCACATTTAATTTCCCTAGGTTGTGTTTTGTAAACTCAAATAACACAGGAAACTCCTCCTGATTTTAGTAAAGGGAATAAGCAATTAGAAATATCAAAACAACAAAAGCCCCCAAACAAGCACCTTCTCCGAGAGTTTGAAACTGCGAGCGAACGCATGGTGGCGCTGTTGACTAAGAAGGAGAATTAAACCACCGGCCAGCGCTGTGCGTACTTCAGTAATGCACAGAGCCGGTACCGTACACCAGGGGCTGTGAGCCTGGACGCATTTTTAAGCAAGTAAATCTGAGCCCTGGAAGGGATTATTTGCTAGACCTTCTCCAAAGGTTGGGAGGCAGAAGGCTGCGTTTCCCAGAGCTGTCGGAGGCTCAGCTTGGCAATATTTCTTGGAAGAACATGGCAGAAAGTGCAATGGAGGCCGGAGGGGAGCGATTTCTTAGACAAAGGCAAGTCCTGTTTCTCTTTGTTTTTCTGGGTGGGTTTCTGGCTGGGTCCGAATCGAGACGCTACTCTGTGGCTGAGGAGAAGGAGAGGGGCTTTTTGATAGCCAACCTAACAAAGGATCTGGGGCTGAGTGTAGGGGAACTGGCTGCGAGGGGGGCCCAAGTTGTGTGTAAAGGGAACAAACAGCATTTTCAGCTCAACCATCAGACTGGTGATTTGCTCCTGCATGAGAAATTGGACCGGGAGGAGCTATGCGGCCCCACAGAGCCATGCATACTGCATTTTCAGATTTTACTGCAAAACCCTTTGCAGTTTATTCCAAACGAACTCCAGGTCATAGATGTGAATGATCATTCTCCAGTATTCTTTGAAAATGAAATGCAGCTGAAAATCCCAGAAAGCACTCCACCAGGAACAATAATTCCCCTGGGAAATGCTGAGGACTTGGATGTGGGACGAAACAGTCTCCAAAACTACACCATCACTCCTAATTCCCATTTCCACGTTCTTACAAACAGTCGTAGAGATGGAAGGAAGTTCCCAGAATTAGTGCTGGACCAAGCGCTGGACCGTGAGGAGCAGCCACAGTTCAGTTTAACGCTCACGGCGATGGATGGTGGGTCCCCGCCCAGGTCTGGGACCGTTCAGATCCACATCCTGGTCTTAGACATAAATGACAACGCCCCAGAATTTACACAGTCACTCTATGAGGTTGAAGTTCTAGAGAGCAGCCCCGTTAACTCTGTTATTGTCACTGTCTCAGCTTTTGATTTAGATACAGGAAATTTTGGGACAATATCATACGCATTTTTTCATGCTTCTGAAGAAATTCGCAAAACTCTTCAACTAAACCCAGTTACTGGTGATATCCAACTAATCAAATATTTGAATTTTGAGGCAATTAATAGTTATGAAGTCGACATAGAAGCCAAGGATGGTGGAGGCCTTACAGGAAAATCAACAGTAATAGTTCAGGTAGTTGATGTCAACGACAACCCGCCAGAACTGACCTTGTCCTCAATTACCAGCCCGATCCCTGAAAACTCGCCAGAGACTGTGGTGGCCGTTTTCAGTGTTTCCGATCTAGACTCAGGAGACAATGGGAGAGTGATGTGTTCCATAGAGAACAATCTCCCCTTCGTCCTGAAACCATCTGTAGAAAACTTTTACACCCTAGTGTCGGAAGGAGCGCTGGACCGAGAGATGAGATCCGAGTACAACGTCACCATCACCGTCACCGACATGGGGACCCCCAGGCTGACAACCCAGCACCACATAACCGTGCTGGTCTCCGACGTCAACGACAACGCCCCCGCCTTCACCCAAACCTCCTACACCCTCTTCGTCCCCGAGAACAACAGCCCCGCCCTGCACATCGGCAGCGTCAGCGCCACCGACGCCGACGCGGGCGCCAACGCCCAGCTCACCTACTCGCTGCTGCCGCCCCCGGACCCCGGCCTGCCGCTGGCCTCGCTGGTGTCGGTCAACGCCGACAACGGCCACCTGTTCGCCCTGCGGGCGCTGGACTACGAGGCCCTGCAGGCCTTCGAGTTCCGCGTGCGCGCCACCGACCGCGGGGCGCCGGCGCTGAGCGGCCAGGCGCTGGTGCGCGTGCGCGTGCTGGACGCCAACGACAACGCGCCCTTCGTGCTGTACCCGCCGCAGAACGGCTCTGCGCCCTGCACCGAGCTGGTGCCCAGGGCGGCCGAGCCCGGCTACCTGGTGGGCAAGGTGGTGGCGGTGGACGGCGACTCGGGCCAGAACGCCTGGCTGTCCTACCAGCTGCTCAGGGCCACGGAGCCCGGGCTGTTCGGCGTGTGGGCGCACAACGGCGAGGTGCGCACGGCGCGGCCGCTGAGCGAGCGCGACGCGCCCCGCCACCGGCTGCTGGTGCTGGTCAAGGACAACGGCG